GTCAGAATTTCCTTCCTTACTAAGGCTGAATATTCCATTATATGTATATAACACATTTTGTTTATTCATTTATCTGTTAATTAACACTTGGGTGTTTCTACCTTTTGGCTAATGCAAAAAATGTTGTCATGAACACGAGTGTACAAATATCCCTTGGAGTCTTTAATTTATCTTGAGTATAATTTCTGGATCACCTGTTAAGTCAATTTTTAATTTTTTGAGGAACCACCATATTGTTTTCTAAAGAGGCTACATATGTATATTCCCTCCAACAGTGCTTGCACAAAGAGTTCCGATTACTCCACATCCTTGTCAACACTTGTTATTTCCTATTTTTTGTTTGTTTGTTTGGCAGTCATCCTAATAAGTGTGAAATAATATCTTATTGTGGTTTTAATTTGAATCTCCCTAATGATTAGTGATACTAAGCATTTTTTTCATGTGCTTGTTGGCTATTTGTATATCATCTTTGGAGAAATGTCTATTCAAGTCATTTACCCATTTTTTAATTGGGTTTTTTTATTGTTGAGTTGTAGGAGTTCTTTATATATTCCAGATATTAACCCAACAGCACTGAAACTTTTAAGACGTATTTAAGATTTACCATACTTATACATTTAACTCACTGGAATACCAAGAGTTCTTTATGTAATTAGGAATGCCTATTTTCTAGATGACTAAAGTACTTAAAATATATTAATTTATAAAAGCAAATATTAACAAACTGTGTGAATAAGTTCAAATATTATTCAAAGGTTCCTTAAAAGCTACTGCTAAAATTTACACCATTTATAAATAGAATAAGATTTGTAGGTTAAAATTAAAAGTTTAAGGGAAAACTAAGTTTAAGTTACAAGTTTAAAAATCATATATTAATGTAAAAAAATCAAAGTAGACCATATCTTTTCTGTGCTCCAAACTCTTAGCAGATACTGAGATGCCAAGCAGCTTACTCGTGGATTCAGAGGGCTCAAAATCCAGATCTAAATCCCACTGTTAACCAAAATGCTATAATGCTGCAAAAGAGCTTAGATTTGTGCTACAAATTATTCGGAAATACTGCAGAGAGTAAAATAAACAGAAAAGATCAACGATGATGTTTCTAAGTGTTGTAACTTGTTTGATTTTTCATTGTACAATTTCATTCAATAGATACTTACTACCTCCTTTACATGCCCTGTGCTAGAATACTGAAATGCAGAAATGAAGGAAACTGATTCCTACTTCACAGTTCTCAGCATGATTGTTTCCTAGGAAACCTGACTTTCAGGAGCAAGACAGTCTCCTCTCTGCTGGGCAGCAGCATAAATAATGGCTCACTAGTCAGGGTGATTCTGTTCAAAATCTGTTCTTGACTAACCTAGGAGGCCAGCCATTCTTCTTATGCATTAGACTTTTAGTGAGCCAGAACACATTGTCTCCATCTGAGGAGTCAGCCAAACCTTGAATCAAACCCTTTCCAGGCTTCTTAGTGTGCCACCAATTTAAGGAAACCCCACACATGAAAAGTTATGGTTACAAAACAGATATATTATGCATCAAGAGGATTTGCTTTGTCTCACAGATTCCCCAGAGTTGCTTTCAGCAATGGGAGTCCCTTGGGCATTTAAATTCTGATTCTTTCTTCACCTGAAATTCAGTTCCTATGAAACAAGAAGAGACCTGTGATATAGAAGGAGATGGTGATGCCTTTGTACTTACCATCTGGGATAGTCTCGTGAGCCTTGGCAATCTGCTCTAGTTCCTGGATCAGGCCCTGAAAGCAGTGCTTACAGAGCAAATGCTGGCAGGGTAAAAGCCAAGAGACCACACCTGGCAGATTCCAGTGGCACAGTGCGCAGGTCAATACTATGGTCTGCATCTGTCCACTCCTAGAGCAGTGTTTCTTGTCAACTAGTGTCAGCCCCATGAAGCTCATGTCCAAGCCCATGCCCAGGACTGGGGCTTTTCCATTGGTATCCTCAGGTGTGAAGCAGCGTGTACAGCGAGCAAGCTCCACCCCCTGCAAGTGAAGCACAAAGCAGAGTGATCGATTTCTTTTAGCCAGAAGTTCCTGGACAGGCCAGAAAGCCCTCAGAGAACAAGCCTCAGAAGTCTAGGCCATGTCCCTCCCCAGAGCTGGAGGCTCATGCCTCAGCCTCAATCCCTCACTTGGGTCCAAAAAGAGGACCTGGCACCTCTGCCATGAAAAACAAAGCCCGGAGGTATCTGCTAGGTTGTGTGTTTCTACAGGGTTGTTTGCCTTCAAGCGTCCCATATAAACAGAGTTCCATGAATGGTAGGAACAACAATAAAACAAAAAAGTGTCCGACACCTGTGCCTCTCTTTACTAATGGACAAGTTTGATCCAAGTTTCAATATTGGAAAAGGGAAGGAAATTATATTATTAAGGGCCAAATTGATTTCAGATACTTTATGTATTTTATCTCAATCCTCACAACCAACCTTGGAGATAGGGATTCTGATACTTTTGCAAATTAAATAAAACCTTGAGGGACAGGCTGAGGAAAGTGAGGCTCAGAGAAGTTAGGTCATACTCAAAGACAAATAGCAAATGGCAGAGTTCAAATTCAAATCCAGGTCAGTTTGGTTCCAGATTCCACATTCTTAATTAGAGCAATGTTCTCAAGTTGAGGTCCACACACATATTTTCATGCAGTCTTTCTAACACTTGCTTAAAATTAGTGTTTCATTTTGATAATAGAGCTTTTTAAAGTATAAATTTTTATTTTTATTTTTTTTTTCCGAGTTGGAGTCTCACTCTGTTGCCCAGACTGGAGTGCAGTGGCCGCTCCCGGCCACCGCAGCCTCGACCTGCTGGGCTCCAGCGATCCTTCCGCTTCAGCCTTCCAAGTAGCTGGAACTACAGGCACACACTACCACGCCCGGCTGATTTTTTGATTTGTTGTAGAGATGAGGTCTCGCCAAGTTGCCCAGGCGGGTCTTGAACCCACCGGCTCAGGCAATCCACTCACCTCAGCCTCCCAAGGCACGGGATTACAGGCTGAGCCACTGAACCCGGCTTAAAGTATAAATATTCTGTATCATCTACCTAGTTGTCACAATAAGATTTTAGGGACAGTGTTAAAAGTTTAGGATCTGGTTCACACTAAGCAGTACTATTTAACTCAGGTTAATGTGCAGAGAAAAGGGCACACTCAACACATAAATGATGCATTTTTTGGTCACATGAAGTCTAAATGATACTGTGGCACACAATAATGAATGTTTTATTGTACTTGGAATGAGGGTGAAATTGAGCCATTTCCACTGTGTCATATATTTGCTGAACTTAGCCTCAAGCAATGAGCACCACATTTTAGGTTGTAGTGACAATTTAGTTTAACAAAATATCATCTACATATGAAATTAATGTTGCTAATTTGATAGTTTAGTAGTTTTTTATAATTTGTAAAGTATATTTTAGTATAAAAACTAAAAAGCAAAAGGAAGTCATACCTAGTTTAATATTTGTACTTATTAAACAAAATAAAAATCATTTAATCCAAGTCTAGGGCTCTGCAATTATGCAAGTTTGATAAAAATTTCACTTCGGTCCTATGCCTTTGGGAGCCAACATATTATGGGGAAAGGTGATGGGGCTGGAAGATGTCAGGTTGCTTGGGGGTCCAAAAAAGTTGCCACTGCATAAAGCAATACATGGACTTTCACCTCCAATTTCTTCTGGGGCTCTTGGGGCAGTTATTTGGCAAAAATAAGCTACAAAAGTAGCCCTAGTAGAGGTGAGGGTAATCTCTACTAGAAAGTTCAAGTATGGTTGAGTTCATTTCATTAGACCAGTAGTTCTCAAACTTTTTGGTCTTGGAACCTCTTTACATTTTTTAAATTATTCTAAGATCCCAAAGACATTTTGTTTATGTGGATTATATCTATTGCTGTTTACCACATTAGAAGTTAAAGCTGGGAAAATTGTAAAATATTCATCAGTTTTTAAAAATAGTTGGTTATATGTTAACATGAATACCATACTTTTTAGAAAAAAAATTAACCATTATTTTAAAAATCAATGTTTTTTTCATGTTGTTTTCTCATATTTACAAGCCTTTTTAATGTCTAGCTTAATAGAAGACATACCTGCTTTTGCAGTCACTGTTATATGTTGTTTTGCTTACAGTGTATAAGAATCCAGTCTCACACAGACACACAGTTGGAAGAAACAGGAGTGGTTTAACAGTCTTATCAGATTATTGTGGATATTCTTCTTTGATACTACACTAGTCTTAAATGTTTTTTTTTTTCCCCTGAGGACACATTCCACATTTTATTTACATTTTAAGACTAACTTTAATCTCAAAATCACATATCCATACACCTATTTCCTTTATGTTTACTTCACTTAAACTTAAATGCATGGTTTGTTAAACAGAGACTGTAAACAAATATTTACCATGTCTGTTACATGTAACACACAGGAATAGCTTTTAACAGAAATTCATCAATCCCCCCAACATTTTTTATTATAAATACAGGTATCAAAACAATCCTGAACATATTTTTTATACTACTAGTAGTCAGCACCCACACCGCTTCAAAAATTAACATTTATGACAATATTCATTATACCTGCTACTTTAAACAATTTCAACTGCAGCTCTTTCACTAAGCAAGATGGATAAAGCCTGCCATTTCTGTTTTCCTTTCCTGAGACTTTTACTTTTCAGAAACACACATGCTTCCACTGCCAGCTGACACTTCTCACTACGCTTTCATCTTGTAATTCTCTTTCGGGTACTCCAGGCTTATGTTTAAATGACAGTGCCTTAACAAGAGAAAAAAAAGTATGCCGCATTTTTCCTCCTGTTACCTGAAAACATAATGGGTGTACATATATTAAATATATTCTTACAAATGTCCAGGTCATGTTTACCAGCTGGAATTCTTTTACTTAATGTGTGGGTATTTCGCATTGTGATATTTAATCAAGACATTAACATGAGTAAAAAGTTGCTGATTTAAGACAAGTTTGAGATCCACTAAAATTAATTATTGTATGTTTGTCCTTCTGGAGGCTGTGGAAGCTTCATATTTTCTTTGGACATCATTAGACGTCTTAGCTCCTGAAGTACAACTTTAATGCTATATGAATTTTGCCATTTTGCTAACACTGGTATGCTCCGTGCATCCACCATCCCACTGGAATTATTTATTCCGTTCATATTAATCTTTGTTACAAATCTAACTGATGGAGGAGCTTCTGGGTATTTAGGTCCACATTCTACTTTCAGGCTATATATTCTGTTTTCATAATTTGTCTGTGGAGACTGCCATCTTCTCCTGTAGCCTCGTCTTAAATGTTAATTGGTGGAATTTGAAACTACATCAATGAACTTTTCTTACTGTTTTATTAAAGTCCACTAATCTATCTTGCAATCTGAACTGCTCTTTTACCCAAGCATAATTTTATAATATCAAGCATTGGTCATTTGGAAAATGTCAATTCAGTGACTTATGCAGATATTCCAAATATTGACACATATCATTATACAGTAAAAAAAAATCACACTCTTTAATATCTTGAATTTTATCCTGAGCTACAAATACTGTCACTTTACTTTTGAGAAAATATCTGCCACATTCCTAAACCTGAATAACCACAGTTTAATCTGTCAGTTGTTTTTCTCAGATAGTGCTGGTATTCCATGGGGGGAGGGCAGCTAATTAGCTTGTAACTCAATAGCATGAGTGCAGTATCTCACTTTGATATGTAGCATTAGTACCTTTTACATACATACAATTACTACACATGGAATATAAAAAAGATATATATTTAAGAATTGAGATTTAATGAAATTTTTACTGCTTCATCATGGACAGTCTTAAGTTAAATTAACTTTTTTTTTTTAAGTGGAAATTGTTTTGAGGCCAGGTGCAGTGGCTCACACCTGTAATCCCAGCACTTTGGGAGGCTGAGACATGAAGATTGCTTGAGCCCAGGAGTTCAAGACCAGGATGGGCAGCATAGTGAGAGCTTGTCTCTACAAAAATTAAAAAAACAGTCATGTGTGATGGAATAGTACTCAGGAGGCTGAGGCAGGAGGATCATCTGAGCCCAGGAAGTCAAGGCTGTGGTAGGCCCTGATTGTGCCACTGCACTCTAGACTGAGCATCAGAGTAAGTCCTCGACTCAAAAAATAAAAAAGCAAAGAAAATTGTGTTGACTTTGTGGACCCCCTGAAAGGTTTCAGGGATCCCCCCATAGGGTCTGTAGGCCACACTTTGAGAACTGCTGCATTAGACCTCACATAACAACCCTGGGAACTCAGGGAGGTGGTATGGCTTTCCACCACCAGTGAGCACTACACAGGGTAATAATATAAGGGAACAAGTATTTTATTTCTGCCTTAGAAGAGCAGTTGAAGTAACTCCATGAGGTTAAAATGTTAATTTAAAGGCACATCCAAGCAATGGCTTTTTGATCTTTGGACAAGGGGTAAAGTCAAATGACCCAATTTCTACCCCTTTGCTCTGGCTGTTTTCACCATGACTTAGTTCTTTTCTCTCCTTCCAATCTCCCCTAACCTAGGAGAGTGGAGGGGATAAAAGTTTCGAAGACGATACTTAAGCCAAGGGTAGTATAATAAAATTCCTAAGGGGCCAGGCAGGCTATATGAGTAAAGAGCTCCACTTAAGAAGAATGTGAGCTCAGTGTCTCCAAATTTTAGTTTTTCAAAACACTAAAAACTCAGATTTTTATTTAAATTTTATAATGTTGGCAACTAATTAAATTTTAAAACATAAGAAAACGCCATAGGCCAAACAACATATACCTGGAGCAATCAGTTTGTGACTTCTGTTTAAGTCATAGAGAAATTTAGACTAAACGAAACATCAACTGAAAATATAGAAGGACAGAAACCCCCATATATAACACTACCTTGCCACAAACCATCCCCTTTTAATATTACCATATCTGGATCTGAGAAAAGGGAAATATTTATTCCTCTTTTTTTTTTTTTGGCCAAGGAAAGATAGAATAAGTAACTCTACATCACACTGGAATTAAGAATTTCAAATACCATGTGCATGGGTAGAACAAATTTTTTAAAAATTTTATTTGAGTAGAATTCTCACTCTGTCGCGCAGGCTGGAGTGCAGTGGCACGCTCATGGCCATCACAGCATCAACCTGCGGGGCTCAGGTGATCTTTCCGCCTCAGTCTTCCAAGAAACTGAAACCACAGACATGTGCCACCAAGCCTGGCTAATTTTTAAAAAAATTTATTGTAGAGATGAGCTCTTGTCATGTTGCCCAGGCTGGTCTTGAACCTGTAGACTCAGGCAATTCTCTCACCTCCACCTCCCAAAGTGCAGGGATTACAGGCATGAATCACTGCACTTAGCTAGTATAGAATTAACAAAATAATACTTATTTTAGGGAGAAACACTAGATAATGAGAGAACACCTACTTTGCTATACTGTGTTGTATGTGATATATTGTTTACTTGCTCATTGTCTGAGACACAGTCCTAGGGCAGGACTCTTTCTTTTTCACCATCGTACCTGCCTCTCACCTGCCAGGAACCTGTGTATAGTACTAGAACATAGTACATACTCAATAAATATTTGTAAAATGAATAAATGAATCTCATTAATTTTTCATTATGCAGACAAGAAAACTGAGATTCAAAGAGAATATGCTGTTTGTTCAATATAATTCAGGTAGTAAAGACAGAACTAGGAAATGAACCTAAGTTTCAGTGTTCTTTCCACTAATTTTATCTTCTGAAATTAAATTAAAACCCAAATATTTAAGCTCCTTTTTTTTTCTGCTACTGAATGAGCTGTTCCTAAAATTCCTGTCTTCACAATTTGCTATTCTGAGTTTAATGGCAGCAAGGTTTTCCATCCCAGCTTCCAACAAAGCTTTTAGGAATATAATTGCCATGTAGAAAAATGAGACTTTAAAAAAATCTATCCAACACAGGAAAGAAAGACTCCTAAAAATCCCCAATCCTCAAATTAGATTATTTTTACTTTGTGCGAAGAAAACCCCACCTGTGATTCTATGGATTTCCCCCTAAATGCCATATATCAAAAACTACTGGTAAAAGCAACAAAAAACCCTGAGCCTCAGGAGACTGAAATGAAATTGGAAACTGTACATATTGCTAGTGCATAAACTGATGCAATCTATTTGGAAAAAAATATATAACAACATAAAATGAATCATAAAAATGTTCATATCCTATAATCCAGCAATCTCACTCCTGGGAATTTATCCTAGACAATTTATTCAACAGAAGAATAAATATATATATATATATATATACACACACACACACACACACAAATGTTCATTGCTTCATTGTCTCTAACAGCAAAGAATACAGTAATAATAAAAAACTAAAATACACAAATAGTTGGCTTAATAAATTATAGTACATGCTGAAGATAAATTACTCTTTGGTTGTTAAAAATAATCATGAAGACTAAGTAGTGATACAGAAAAATGTTGTGGTATTAATGAAAAGTAGAATACAAAAGAATTTATATACTCTGATCAGCAACTTTGCAGTCAGCTATTTTTCCATGTAGACAAGAGCTAAAAGGTGATATTCAGAAATGAAAACAGTGGAATAATTTTAGGAGTGTTTATACTTATATTTTTTTCAGAATTTTCTTTAATGCACTTTTTATTACATATAATTTTTCAATTCTTTCTGAAATAAATTTGAATTTCTGAGTTTTTCTCTAATTCTCTCTTAGAAAAGAGTAAAAACACTTGTTTTCCCATCTTGAATAAACAGTTCTCTACTTAAAAAAGAAAAGCTATATAAAATCTCCAAATGTCCACTTTTGAAGACGGACAACAAGATAACAGGGCTATATCTATTCATGCTGTTGTTGCTGTTTAAAGGACTGAAGATGAACTCAAGAATTCAGAGAGGAGAGAAAGGAAGAAGGAACACCGGGGCCATCTTCAGGGTGGTGGTATGTTCCCAAGTTCGTCTGGAGAGAAGCTTGGAGTAGCAAAAAAGCACCACACTTCCCTGCCTCACCTTGATGCAGTATCCTGGCATCATCTTCCCTCTGCTCATTTCACAGGTATTTTCTGAGACCCTGACATCTGAGGAAGCCCAGATGCCTGAGATGTCACAAGGTCATGCTCTACTTCAGAAGAGATGTCACAGAGGACATCCATTCAGGAGTCATGTCCCATGTGCCTGGTGGGGAGGGACAGATCAACTAATGAAAACTATCTGACTGCTACTCAGCTTTGCAGATATAGAACTTAGCTTTGTCTTTTCTCTCAGAGCTCCACTGACCTAGGGAGACCCACACTGAACAAATACCACATGAGCTGTATGTTTCAGCTACATGGTTGTCTTGTGAAGAAGGAGCTGGCTAGAAAATCAGAGCCAAGTCAGTCAACTACCCAGGGCACTCGCTCTCCACCTCGAGATCAAACCATTGATGAGAAGAATGTTAGGTGAACACCGAACTCAACATGGAGTGCTAGGTCCACTCAAGGAAGCCTTCTCTTCAGCCAGGTGACCAGAGGGACAGAATGGCACCCAGAACCCTACCTCTACCCCTTGCATAATCTTGATCCTTGCTCCAGGCCCCACTTACAACATGCCTGATAGTTACCTTCCATTTCCAAGGCTCTGCCCATACCTTCATTGACAGATCATCTTTCCAACGGTAGTTTCCAGGTAATTGAGCTCACCTCTTTTGCACTTACTGGTCAGTTTCGATGTCAAATAGAGGATAATCTCTCCTTAAATCTTGCCTTTCACTCTCAAGACCCCTCTTTCTGCTGCTCACATGCAGTATGTGATTAAGGTTGAAGGAGTGGTGAAGACCATAATACTGTGAGGTCAGAGAGGGAGTGGTCACTGAGGTAAAAGCAGGAGATCTGGAGAGAGACTAAAGGGTAGGCCCAGCTACGTAGCCTCTGGCAAGTCACTCAACACTTCTGTGCCTCAGTTTTCTAATGCATAAAATGAGGCTGGTAGCATTGAACTCTAGGGCAGATAGATGCATTTTGCAAAATGCTTTGGAAATGTTGGCTATTATCATTGTGAAAGCAGATTATAAAGCAGGCCTTAAAGATTAAGATTCAGGATATGTGCTCAGAAAGAGGGTGGGCACTCCAGGCAAGAACAGAGGCAAAAATGCAGAAGAAATGGACCAAGTGCATCTGCAGTAGAAAGCTTATATAGAGGAGAAGATAAGGTAAGGCTGGAAAGGCAGGTGGGCTGTATTCTATTGGCCATGAAGAGCTACTGAACTTTTAAATCAAATAAGTAAAAACATAAAAGTCATGTTTTGGGAATACTGAATATTAACCTGATGGAGGTGTGAAGGATAGAGAGATTGGAAGAGGGTTAGAATGCAGGCAAAATAAGCACAGGAGGGTGTTGAAAACTCTAGGTAAGAGAGAGTGAGGGCCTGAATGGAGTGGCAATAGGGCTTAAAAGGAAGAAGCAGATTTGAGTAATAGAGAAACTAAAGAACATGGCTGTTAGAAAAAAAGAGGGCTTAGGGACAGTTTCATTGTCTAGGTGCTATTCACTACGATATAGAATAAAGAAGAAGGCACCAGTGACTAGGGAAGATTGAGTTCTTTGGACATGTTTGTCTGTAGACTCTCCAAGGAATACTAACCAGTAATTAAGTGACTATATGAGTGTGGGACTCAGCAATAGAGACATGAATTAGTGAGTTAAAGCCACTGAAGAAGACCATGTACTGTGAAAAGACAAAAGAGACAAGGACAGAAGGCTGAGGAACATCAACATTTAAATGATAGACAAATAAAAACCTGAAGACTGACAAGTGGCCAGATAAGTAGGAGAAGGGCAAGAGTTTCTGTAGAAAAAGAAGTCAAGAAGTAAAGTACAACAGAAAGAACAGGTGGTTTTAAGAATGGGAAAAGTCCATTCAATTTGGCAGTTGGTTCACTGATGACTTTACTAAGAGCAATTTCATTTGAAACTGGGTTAATATCTAGATTACAGTGGATTACACAACAAATGTGAAGGTGCCAATGGACAGGATTTGTAGTTTACTGTTTTGGCTGTAAAAGAAAGAGCAAGGAGCCAAGCACAGTAGCTCACACCTGTAATCCCAGCACTTTGAGAGAGGTGGGCTGGATTGCAGGCATGGTGCATGCCTATAGCCCCAGCTACTTGGGATGCTGAGGTGGAAGGATCACCTGGGCCCAGAAGGTTGAGGCTGCTATCATGACACTGCACTCCAGCCTGTGCTACAGAGTGAGACCCTGAGTCAAAAAAAAAAAAGAGGGCTGTAGAGACATGGGAGAATTTAATTTTAGCCAAAAAAGGAACTAAACAAAGAAAAATTACACACACTCACATATACACACACAGACTAACTGAGGGGATGGGATTTTGAACACAGGTTGAAGGAGTTGGCTTAAGAAAGGAGGGATGCCTCCTCCACTAACTGTGAAGGCAGGGAGGTGAGAATAAGTTCATTTATTCAATCAACAATCATTTGTTGAACATGAACTACATGCCAGGAACTGGAAGTGCACAGATAAAAGAAAATCATCCTTGAGCCCTAAGGAATTTGGTGTAACAAGGAAGGCAGACGCAGATCAATAATTACACGAGAGCTATGGTACAGGTGGGCAAGTGAGCAACTGTGACTGCATGGGTCACAAAAGCTTCAGAGAGGAGATGTTTGCAGGGGTTCCAAGTTGAGCAGGGGTTTTCTGGTCCAAGAAAGTAAAAGGTCACAAGATCACGGGCATGTCATGTAGGTTCAGGAGAAAATTTCAATGTGGCATTTAGAAACGTATTTACAGGGTCTGGATGAAAAGGACCATAAAGCAACTAGGAATATAGGTCCCAGAAGCATGGCAGGTTGCTCCAACTCGGGAGGACACCCAAGATGACAGTACAAGGGCAAAAAAAAAGGAAAGCGGATGTGCCCTCTCGGGAGTGTGGGCGAGCAGTTCCGGACGTGGTGGTGGCGTTTCTTTCGGGGTGGGGGGGCCCAAAAACTGTAAAGGAAACGGAGATGCCGGGTGGGCACACAGAGGGTTAAACGGTGCCTCGCGGCTCCGCACTGCGGCCGGGAGACAGGCAAGCAGCCTTCCACCATGCCGGACAGACCCCTAAGAACGGGGGAGGCGCGTGGGGCCGCCTAGGGCCGGGCATTTAGAAAGGGAGGAGCGGCCCGGAGGCTCCTGGAGCCGGCCTAAGCGGTTCCCGGGTCAAGCCACCAGGAAGGGGTCTGGCCTACGTCGCCGCGGCAGCGAGCACCACAACGTCACAGCCCGGGTTCCTCAACAGTTCTGAACCTGGCACAACGGGCTGCGCGGAGAAGCACTCAGGGCGACCAAGACTCCGAAAGGAGGTCGACGACTACCAGCAGGAAGAGGAAGCTGGCGGCCGACGTGCAAACCAGCGACACCAAAGACGCCCCGTCCAAGGCCCGGCCCTCTGGCCGGAAGTGATGCGTTGGCCCCGCCCCGTGTTCGATACGTCGCGAGACTTCGAGGAGGCCTTCCTCTTTCGTCTCGGCCGCCACCATGGTAGGTGATTTTTTTCTTTTCTCTGCTTCCTTGCTGGCGGGCCCCCGATTCTACTCCCATTGTCCCCAGCCACCGACCTCCCGACCCTGACCGGGGCTTCCTGGCCGCATGTAACCGGCTGCAGAGCGGGGCTGTCGGCGTAGGCCCAGGGCCGGGATTCTGGGTCCGCGTGCTCAACCCAGGGTCGGGTCTGTAAGCCGCGCGGGCCCGAGCGCCATCCTGATGAGTCCGCGCCAACCTGGGCCGTTGGGAGGTCACCTCGACTTGGCTGAATGCTCCAGGGAGCCCGTCCTAGGCTGGCAAGCGTCGCCCCCTGCCCATTCTTACTCAGTCCTTACTTATAAGCCTCTTTCCCACACAGCCATCCAGACTGAGGAAGACCCGGAAACTTCGGGGCCACGTGAGTCACGGCCACGGCCGTATCGGTAAGTGCCGGCCTGCTCTCCTGGTCGGCCTCGAGCTCTCCTGGGTGCTTGGTTAGTCAGGAGTTAGGTAACTTAGAAGTGGATTAAAACAAGACCTTTCTGTGGGGCATTTTGACAGCTGTTAATTTTTTCCTCTCTGAGGGTCCTTCAGTACTGCTGTTTTCAGAGAATTTCACATCAGCGTGGGAATAAAAATGGAGCAGGTCACAGTATTGCATTATTGACATGGAGTACGTAGGACTACTGTGATGGGGGACACTGAAAAGATGTTTCCCCGTAATTTTCAAGGAACAGTAATACTGAAAGCGGTGTTGTAGGCTGGGAACAGCATAAGCAGGGGCTCAGAGGTGTGGGGAAATGCTCTGATTTCGAGAGAGGCGGTATTGAAGGGCAAGAGAAGGCTGATGTTAACCATGAGATTTGCATTCCTGCAGGCAAGCACCGAAAGCACCCCGGAGGCCGTGGTAATGCTGGTGGCTTGCATCACCACAGGATCAATTTCGACAAATAGTGAGTGTCTTTGGACTGCTTTTACTGATGATTGATTTATCAAGGTAGAAACTTGGGAGGTGGGGTGCATTGGGGGCTGACATTGATGGCTTGGGTGGTAGGAGCATAGGAGTCTGGCTTAGAACATTTAAAGTCTGGAAGCAAGCCTCTTACAAACTTGCTATTGCTGCCTTTTGCCAAGTTAACACTTGATGGGAACTGAGAACCTGTCATCGAGGCTAGAGTCACACTTGGGTATCGGCTGTTGCCTTAGTGTGCTAGAGTCCTCGAAGAACAACTGCTGACCTTATTCACTGGCTGTGGGCTTTATGGCATAGTCAGTCACCAGGTTAGTGACATGGTTCAGACTGACCTAGACAACTGGTAGACTTATGTTCGCAAATTAGGGAATGACACATTCTGTTTTTAATTTAGAAGACCTCTATTACAGGAGTGTGTAATTGTTTTTTGTAAAATGCAATTAAGTGACTTGAATTTTAGCCCTGGCACTGTACATAACCTCAGTAACTTACTCTGGTTCCATGGAATAAAGCTAGCCTTTTCCTCAAGATAAGTCTTTGATGGTTTTTAGACATTTGTT